CTAATGTATTGCATATGGTCATAGCGTCTCTTCAAATGGCAGGCAGTTAATGCTACCGGTAATTGGAACGGGATCTTTAACAAGTAAGCAAGCAAGCAAAGCGTGGTATTTTTTTACATGGTGCCAAGCGCTAATTATGAATAGTGCTCAAACAAGGGCAATCTGGCCTCAACAGCTTACATCTCAAGACAAGCAAATAATAACTCTGGATCAACAACAGAACCATATTTTCACTTGTTCATTAGATATGCATTAACGACTGACTGCAGTGAGTTTGCAAGTAATTATGAATAAAGTATGGGTAACAAAACAACATTTAACGATATATTTGCTGACATGCTGTCCCTCTTCGTGGAATTAAACTTAATATGTTGGGCAAGGTTGCATAAATTACGTGTTCTCGTCGGCGAAATGCCACATTTATGTTGGAGGCAAGTGATATTAAATCCACTGACCGGCATAGTAAAGTATGGTTTCAGACTGACGCAAAAAAATCGTGTCTTTTTCATATGATAACAGTGCAATCCGGCATGTACCTGGTTGGCATTGCAATTGGGCAGCTTAATTCACGTGAAGGATGTCATTTGAAAGCATAGGATGATAATACAGATTCCACTGTTATGGGAAGCAAAAACATTGGTGGTCTTTGAAGTATACTGATACTTTCCATGAAAATGTAATTTCCACGTCTGTCTTAAAGGCATGTTGGGCTTTTTGGTTACGAAGGGGATACATAAAAATAAATGGAAATAAAAAATCGTTAAGTCCTCAATCATGCATTGTCGGATGGTGTTGTAACGTTATTTTTGGGTAAGCCAGAGCATCGCTGTAATGCTAAAAGGCATGTATCCGTTCCTGGCGTTTGGGACGTGGATACGTTGTCGTCATCATAAGAAAACATTCATTATAATGACCGCATTGTGATTTTCATGTCGAAAACCTGCTTGCCATAGTAATGTGGAATTACAAATCACTGGCTCAACATCTCAGATACAGATCAGTTCTGCTCCACCATCGTTTGAGCATGGGGGCACTTGGAATTGTTTCTCACCGTTTGCTGTATCTTTTATATATACGCGTATATATGCATGCGTTTTGTAATGATTGAGTATGTAAATATTATTGTGTTATTTTATTTTATCAATGTATTATTTTATTCTCATTCTACGTGACTTTACCGAAAGAACCAAAGAAGATGAATCCTTGCAGTCACGAAAGCTTTAAATCGAAATTTATGTTAAATAAGTTTTGCATTGCCGTTTACAATCTATATATTCGTTAATACAAGGATTGTTTGGAGACCACCAGGAACATCAATGCACAACAATTCCAGCTGCAAGCAGAGCTTATTTTAAATCACAGTCAAGAGACGGTGGGCTTCATGTGCCTGGATAAGCCACCTCCCACACTCTCTCACCTCCCCTCTTCCCTAAATCCGCATTAATCAAACTCAACAGCCCAATCACTCTTGCACATTAGCAGCAACGTGGAGGGTTGAACTGGACATTAACAAATGCTGAGATTGTTTCTAAAGATTTTCAATGCATCATTAGAATAAGACGGGAGAGGGAAAATAAATTAACTGGGCTAAGTCTTGCAATGCACGAGCGATTCCCTGGACAGCTGTGCAAGTCTCGCTACAATAAACACAGAAGCTTCATTGATGCTTTAGAAAGCTGTTGAACCAGAAAATATCAAACAAGTTGCACCTCCGATTGCCATGGTTGGCTACGAAAGAAGTTCAACATACAAACATACTGATGGTACGAGAAGCGGCAATTGTTTATAATTGTCCCTTTGTAAAACTTTTCGCATGCAATTCCATCACCCATTACATTTGCTGGCAGGGAATAAAAACCATTAGGTCTCCATTTCATGCATTAAACAAACATTTAATTACATAAAGCAATAAAAAATCGAGTGTTCTTTGAGAACGCACAATCCGTTCATAACTGCTTGAGACAGAATCATGCTACTGTCTCTCGCAGACCTTGGAAAGAAAACCAAAGTAATGATTAGTCATAGTGTGTTCTGCCCGCGATGCAAAATATGTTAATTTGCACTCTGTGAAGCTCATTATGCTATTAAAATCAGTTTAACAAGTTTTCGAAACGACAACTCGGTCTTGCCTCACGCTTAATAGCGCCTGATTGTAGGCAGACTTCCATGGGAAAGAAGCCAAATTGGCATGGGTACTCGGAGGGGTGGGGCTAATTTATCAGCATGCATTTTATTTGTAAGCAAAATTTCCAAGAGGGTGGTGATAATTTAAATAGCCCAGCCAAATAGCGCACAAAGCGTGCTTTGAATAGAAATACGCTGAAATATTTGAGCACTTTAATCCGTTATATATATTTACAATGTAATTTGTAATACAAAATTATGAAAACATAAATATATTGGAAACAAACTTTGTTTTTTTAAAACATTGTCATGTTCAAAACGTATTCTCTCTATATATATTCTCTAGAACAGCATTCATTGATTATTTTGTGTTACGTACCGTATCGTTTTGTGTATGAATTCGATACATTTCTGACAAAAATGTCCCTTTGCCTATAAACATCGGACAGTTGACCAATGAAGTAAGTCTTCCGTTCCTGTAGAAGCTGCCAGCACGTGTTGCGAAACGTCTGACATCATTAAAAACAACACGGGGTTACGACCTACTAACACATCCCAGAGTTGTAGCAACTTGTGCTCTGCTGACCTTCCCCGACACCTCCCGATTATCACGGTTGGATATGTACGGTGCGAAAGAAGTTCAACATACGTGGCCGCGCGTAATCAACAATTATTAGAATAATGTTGTTTCATGAAAGCAATGCAGTTTTAATTCCCAGTTCTATTTTACGTGAATTGCAAATGCAACTAGATTTAAAATTGGACAACATGCCGAATGCATCTTTACTATGTGGGTCAACAGCTTTTAGTTGCACATATTTTATTCATTTTAATGCACGCAACCTCTGCTAATGAGATACAAAAAAACCCTATATATTTATACTGGATGACACGCAAACATTTTAAATCTGCATTATTGATAAAATGTGTTTTTTGCATCGTTGTGTTTACTAAATCACGCGTGGACACATTTACGTCCTTTTATGCAAATATTATTTTTTTCCCCCCGATCTTCAGTGCTTCCAAGCATTTGCCGTTCATTATTCCATGCTTACCGTGCATCTGAACAGCGCAGGTTGACAAGGCAGTTGAAACATCGCAGTCGACGCACCGTCAAACATCCGCTCCCCCTCATTCCACCACTTTTAAGCTGTAACACACCAAGCCAACTAACGCCATGTTAATTATGTGTTTTTTTTTAGGTAGGTAGGGGGAATGCCTGCAATACTTGCTACGTACTTTGGCACTTTAAAAAAAAACAACTCTGGGTTTTAATGTATGATTTGCAGATGTGTTCTTTCTTTCACGGCGTGTGCAGAGAAGGGTAGAATACCGCACCTCGTATTTGGCACAGTTGGCTGCTCCCTGACGGGTTTTTGGGTTGTACAGTAGCACAGCGCTTCGGCGCAATGTTCAGATGTTTCGAATCCACGTCATTGGGGGCTACTTCAGGAACAGAAATAAACGTAACAAGGAAACGCCACACAATTGAGTGAAACGTCAGTGACCATTGAGAACATTGCGCGGTTTCACCTGAAGACAGATCCCTTCATAGAACGTTGGCGATGTCTTTTTTTTTTCCCTCCACCAAATTCGCCGATCACTTTTTTCGTAAGCTGTACCAGTTACTTTTAGTCCGGTAATATGTGAAGGGGTGATTGCAGACGTGAATGTACAATTTGGCCACGTTGCTCACAAACGCAGAGCGCTAAAGGTCCCTGGAATGTATGCTTCCCCAAAGAAAACATAAACACTGTTTGTAGGACAATTTTAAATCTGAGTCGTGCTTGTGAGTTTCCTCATAAGTGTAGTGACATGGAATGGGTCACTACGTAGCATAGCGTGGGTTGCTGGCAGAGAAGGGGATCTGCGGTTGCAGTCGCCCTGTCTGTCAGCAGGTCACATGATAAAGTCAGAGAGAGGGATTTAGGACAAAGGTGATAGAGGGGGCACGTGACGTTAGCCCGGGAACCAACTCGTGGGTTCTAGAAGGGGGGCGTGGCCGGGGGCGAAGCGAGGCCATGCTGGGATGATAAAATGGAACCTCCGAGCGAAGGCTCAGGGCTGTCACTTGGAGTGGGATCCCGTCGTGCTGCTTGAGTCTTCGTCTCTGTCTTCACCTTCTCGGTGTTGTCAGTCAGGCAGTCTGTTAGCTGTCCTGGCTGAGAGTCTACTTACCCTTTGTACCCTGCGAAGGCTATAATAAATAGTGCCTCCTACTCCTAGTGTCTCTGAGTGCATCACTACATAAGTATGCCCAAAATAGGTTATTTGATTCGGCAGGGTTTGTTCCAGTTCAAGAACAAAGAATAACCCACTTTTATTTTCCGGCATCTGAAAAAGTGTTGTGACCGCGTAGATTTTGTTTGCGGTAGTGAAGTATAGCTCTCGCAGAATAAGAATCAGAATATTTATTAATACTGGAGGAGTCCAATAAGCAATAAAGCAATTGTTTTCACATATGTATGTCCAATAGGTGCGGGTCACAATGTTACAACACCACGTTGTTTAACTCCACGTGCTGGGAGCGTCAATCATCAAAACAATGCTACGAATGAATACTATTTTACATGATGACGAGACATCTCAGACAGGTATAATACTTTAGGTAAAATTTATATTACGTGAATGCAAACTGTAAAAAAGCTGTGGGTTTTTTGTCGTTAAATTCTGTGTTCTCGTCAATATAGCGCCGTAAGAAAATCAATTATTGCTGTCATTGTCCCCTGGACTTTACTGGATGTGGGGAGCTTTGAGCGTTGGTGTACGGTGTTTTTTGGGGAATTTGTGCTGTTTTTTTTCCTGGATTTTCAGTTTGCACATAGTCACTTTAAGATGTTTTTTTGTTCATGTTTTTGTTTTTTTGTTTGTTGCAGTTGCACCCGATTCAAGAGCCGAATGGCTCACAGGGCTACATCTAATAAATGAACTTGAACTTGAAATGAAAATGCTCTGTTCTCCACGTTCTGGGTCGGGTTTTTGTTTTATCTATCCGTTGTGTTCTCGTACCCTTTTAACGATGTAATTTTTTTGGGGGGGGGATTTTAAGGTATTCATGTTTGTCAAAAAATAAGCGTTTTGAGATGCAATGTGCATGAAAGACTCGATTATGTATAAAAAGCATTATTATATAAACCCATCTGACTAAATACAACTTTAGTAACGTATAATATTGTTTCCCACATATACAGCATACGATATTTAGCTCATTACCTTGTGGATATTTTTTTTGTGTTTAAACAATCAGGATTTTCCATTCATGTACAATAAATATTAACGTCATCGTTGCATGTCCAATGAATTTAATTGTTGAACATACTTTAGTTTTAATATCTGCAATAGAAGAACAGAGTGACAGTAAATTGTATCTTATGTAATTTGGATTTAACATTTTAACGATGCTATACACATTTAATACGTACAATATATTTTAATAGTTTTTTATGCATGTTCTTTACAATATATGTTAATTCTAAGCGTACGCTATTTTCACATGTGCTTTGACATGGTACTAATTATAAAGCATGATACTACTGAGAAGGCGTTGGTGGCTGTGTCGTATATCTCTCTCCGAAGTGTGTTTGGCTTGTACCGCGCATTGTTCTGCACGGTGTCCGACGTTTCGCACCATGTTCTGGGAGCTTCTAGACACGCAATTGAACGGAAGAAGTCCCCAGCACGGGAAAGAGGATCGTCAGACAACAACACATCAGAGAGCTATCGTCCAGTATATTATCGATCGCATACAATTTGCTATTTAATGTGATACAAATGATAACAAAATGTAGTGGCTTCTAGTTGGGTTTGTTATACCTTGAGGTTATATAATGTGAATTATATTAATATCAGAATCAATGCCTTTGAAATGTAATAATTTAATGACAAAAAATATATTAAAATAATATAGCATCATCAACATCGGACATGATAAACCCACTGTTGGACAAAGGCCTTCACCCAAGCCATGGTTTGTCTCTCATGATCCTGCGATCGAATAATTATAATCCACCTAGCGCCTGCACACAAGCTGATTTCAAGGCTTAATTTCTAGGTTGGACGTAGTCTAGGGTTCATGCCATTTACTGGCTATTAATATTCTCGACCACTGACAATGCATCCCTTTATTTCGAGGCATGTCCTTCCGAAGCCGACTTAGTTTTTTTTTATATCATCCAGGTGATATACAATAAACACATTTTAACATAGCATATATATTAATGTGTAGAACCTTGAGATCCTGTAATACATTGCAATATACTTTATAAACGAGAGTGGTTGGTTCACATCCTTCAAGCCGGCAACATTTAAAGACAAACGAGTGCAGATTCACGTCACGACTCTGGTCTTGCCTGGCACTCAAGCGCAGCATGAAATGAGGATTTTAAAAGCGGGTGCAAAGGAAAGAAAAGGCGACGCTATGGGGAACATGGAGAGGGAGGAGGGGGTGGGGCGAGGCGATGGGGTTGAGTGGGAGAGACGCGGAGAGAGAGAAGGAAACAAAGAGACGAAGCGTCAGTAAAATGTGCCCAAGCAAACGGAACAGAGTGCAGGGACTGTCAAGAAGATGAGCGTGAGATGCTTGATTTGCCGGCACGGCGAGGGTTCAGCCCGGGGTGAGCCGTGCCCTCTCTCCCCACAGTTCAAAATGCTTCACACGCGAAGTGTGAAGTCGAGACTCTCCTCGCCCTGCGGCCAAGAGAGACCCCGCAATGGCCTTGCAGTTTATCAGGATTGAGAGAGGCGGAGTGGCGGGGGGCGAGCGAGAGGGGTGGGGTGGTTTAGGGGGGGGAGGAGGAGGAGGAGGCAGTCCGTCAATAGTGCGATGGCTGTGGGAGTGCATTGATGTGAACTGGGAGATGGCGTGGAGAGAAGTGGGTGAATGGGATGGTGAGTTATGGGGGTTGGGGGAGACTTTTGGGAGCTGCTCAGAAGGGATCGGCCCCGCAGAAGTGGGAATGGGGAAATGTGTTACCATTGTCTTTTCATCTGGGCTGCTTCTATGACGTGTGTGAAAATGCATTGGCTGCGTTTGGATTTTACACATCACGGCTTCGATGGTTTTTTTTTGAGTGCAGGCGCACATAGGCAGCAGGATTCTCAGCTTGTAGGCTGTTCTATCAATTGTCTGTAAATAAGCACCTGTGTAGGCTGACAAAGCACAGGACGCCATGACTGTGGTAAGATTCCCACATTACGTTTGCCTCTCCAAGTGTTGATTGTGATGCATCGTACACGGAGTTATTTTAGACTTGAACCCCAGGAATGCTGGGTTCAGGTTCACACATCGTCTGCTTGCCGTGATGTTGTGCATGACCAAGATTTAACCCAGGTCACAAGTCGTGTGCTAACCACCCAGCAGTGTGAATAAATGACATTGCAGCAGGTAGCATGAGATAAAGTGTAGGTAACTCCCACCTTTTTTTAAATGTCTATCTGGCGTGGAAGAGTAGACCAAAACACCCCCAAGAGCGGCTGTCTCCAGCTACCAGTCATACAGTCCCTTCTGCCAGTTGTGTTGTGAGCAAGCATTTGCAGGGCTCTGCCTTTCATGATATATATACGCACTGCCTTTATTTTGTTTTATTTACTAAAGGTTTTTTGTTTATTGCAAAATCACCAATGTTTTGCTCTGTGACGTGCATAGAAACTCCCCACAATCAAGCTATCGATTTGGCTGCATTTTACACAAATAAGTGAATTCTACATTCCATTGCCTTTCATTCTTTCGTGAATGTTGTCTTTACATATACGTGTAATGTAGGACCGCTGGATTAGGTTAATAAAAAGTCAGCGTGATGGGCTCTCTCCAAAAGGATATGACTGACAAGCAATTGATTAACTTAGAACAGTCCTCCTTAGTTATCAGATGCTGTTCTGCATTCCTTTTGTATCAATTGTTCCCATGCATAGTTAAATAATTAACTCAAATCCGTAATGCTGAACAAAATACTGTTTATTGAATCATCACAGTACGCCTGCTAATTTGCAATCTTCACCCGATTACTTTATCTCTTCAACGTCAACGTAATTTTAATAGCGTGTTGTCGCAACCAGTCGAATAGGCGGTATGAACTATACGTGCATTCCAAACCCAGTCCGTGCAATGTTTGACACAGATAATGAACGTATGGCCGGTCATAATGTAAAGCGTTTATTCAACTCGACAAAAACATCCTTGCAGTGATGTTTTAAGCCCCCTTGCATCTAAGCTGCCAATATCTTCCGCGTCGTAAGAAAACACTTAAGCACCTGCACAAAGACACCACAGAGGCTTACAGCGTAATGTGAAGAACTGCGCTTTAACAACAAGAGACCTTTGGTTTAGCCGCAGCGCTATCAACGCGATGGCTGCTACAAACATCACATGTTATCCTATGATGTTTGTAACGGTGGTTCTTAACCTATACTGCAGCCTGCACCACGTTGGCACCCAAACGTCGCAAAATACATAACCTTGATTAATTAATAGATACAAAGTAGTCTTGGTTCTTTCGGTAAAGTCACGTAGAAGGGATTCAATAAAATAATAAAAATAATAAACATTAAAATTCTCACGTGACTTTACCGAAAGAACCAAGAATACGAATCCCTGCAGTCACGAAAGCTTTAAATCAAACAGATACAGAGTAGTTGTACTCACGTGGCTGTGCTTAATGCACCTCCAGAAAGGGCATCTCGCACCACCAGGTTAAAACCCACTGACTGCTATGCATCATTCTAAAATCGTATCAACCCTCCCCGCACCCTCAGCCATTGCTTAGGTTACGTAACACAAAAATACAAACAACAAAAAGCGAACTCGCAGTGCAACCGTCGATTTGACAAATACAACAGGTGTGGCGGACGTATTTTCTTAACATTTGTACGAACACTGTTGATGTCAACGCGGACAATTTGGTGGTGTTGGTCACAGCAAGAGGAACACGTAAAGCAAAGATGACAGACATCACTGGACGCATATTGGCTGGTCAGCAAGTAAGTGGGCTAGGACAAGGATACGTTGCCAGAAGGAGCATGATGGTCAATGGACGAGACTGGTCACAGAATGGCAGCCAAAGGAGAGGCCACAAACGCCGGATTGACAACTGCGGAGATCGGAGGGTGATGAGATTAGTCCATGTGGCATTGTATTGTACAGGTTGGTCAAGATGTATTGTGACCCCCTCCCCCCACCCCCCCACAAAAAATAATAATTTACCTCGACCTTTTTTTTTCCATTTCCATATTAATTTCTATTTGCAATTTTTGACAAATATTAAAGTTTCAGAGGATAAAATGGGAGTCACAAGACATCTGGAGCACCCGGTAGAACCGTGAGGGATGGTGGTGGCATGGGGTAGGCCTGTACTAAGTTAGTTAATAGATAATAGCAGAAGATGATGCTAATGATCGCGCTTTTTTAATTTAATTTTCTGTTTGAGCGAAGCGAAGGGAATTTTAAGATGCTCATGACATTGTTTTAACTGAAGCATGTCATGCAGCGTATATGGTGTTAATGTCAAGTGCAATTTATACACTGTGTATGTAAATCTGTGAATCAATAACATTCCACATCTCAAACTAGGATTTGCCAGTTTCATTAAAGTTTAGGTGAGAGGGGGGAACACATTAAAGGTAGGAATTTGCATTACAACATCCAAAGTGAATGAACATTGTTTGTGTAATATCCTAATCGCAGCCTGCATCTTGTGCTATCGCCCACGTGCATTCCACGCATTACCCGTCTTTCTCAAACTTGCTGTGCACAGCTGAGCAGATCTGGGTTAAAGGTGTGTCTTCATGAAATTAGCACAACCCCCAGGGGATGAAAAATATCTATATAGCTCAGTGGGCCTTACCTGCTAAAATACCAAAATATATAGTTCAGTTTTTATTTATAAGCCCAATAATTTATGGAGAAAGATCCGGCTTACGTGTGATTATGCAAGAGTTTAATATCTTTGCAAGATTGAATGGCTATGTTGCACGCTATGTTAACACCGGCCTGAATTTCTCCCTTGAATATTTAAAGCTCATCAATAGTAATATTTAATATAACTCTAAGAAACTACACAAAACTTTAA